GCCATCCTCTCCTGGAGCTGTTCTACAGACATAGTCCCTTCCCTGAGCAGCGAGCAGAGATGGGTCAGCTTCCTTCAGAGCAATTTGCTGTAGGGAGACATCCAGGCAGTGCAAGTGCACTTGCTCTGCCCATATTCCAGAGCAATCACACAGCCTGAGGAAGCACAAAGATGTGGTTTGAGGTTGTCCTTGTGTCTGCAAAAAGTGCTTTTCTTTCTTCATTCTTGTCTCCTTGATGTTAGAGCCTCCACACCACCACCATGCATAGCTGCTTCCTCCAGACCCAAAGCATCGCAGGTTCTACTCAGCCCTGTTGCAACCCTACTGATTTAGGATGGATCTCAAGGCCGTAATTGGTGCAGTAGATGAGGGAACTCAGCAGATTCATTGCCAGAATAATTTAGTGCTGATGTGGCAAGATTTTTTAGCTGTAAGTGTTAGAAGGGATTTCTCACCTGTGTTGCATTACGAGTTTAATACCACCAGTGTGTGTGTGTGTGAGAACACCTCACAGAGCAGGACCATTTCATGGTTTAACATTTAGTGTAATGGGGTCCAATAAAATCGTGTTAAAAGATGTTAATGTTGCAAAGCAAAACATCAGAAGCAAGGAAATGCCAGAATTAATATGGCCTGTGGAAATTCAGCTTCTTGCACATTATGGTGCAGATCTTATTACCTGACATCCTAGGCTTTCCAGGGGGTGTCTTTTTTTCCAGTAATGCATAGTTATATTTTTCTTTTAATGTTCCTCACTGTATCTTTGTTAAACATGAAGAATCCAAAGCCCAATTAATATAAAATCCTTTATCATGTAAATATTTATCATATACCTTTATTTCAGTTCTTTGCTGCCTAATAAATGCATATCTTTTTCACAGTGACCTTAAATTATCAGACACTTTTAACAGTGTTCATATTTGAACAGGTGAAGGTAGAAAATGTATAAAACTTTGATTATTTTAAATAAAAGTTTAAGCCAAATGGGACTTTCATTTTTCTACATAAAAGTAACATTTGTACACAATCTTATAAGTTCAAGGTATATTTTCCCTTGGAAAATAAGCTTGGATCATTAATTAGGTCTTCTGTACCACTGGAGTAGCAAAACTAGTCCACTGCTCAGACTGGTCACTAATGACTTTTGTAATGAGTTTCACAGGTATCTGATGAGTGCTTAAGGTTATGTTTGTGGTGTTAGTGCCAAATCTAGAAGAGAGGACAGCAAACTGTGGTGTTCCATCTCAGCCAGTCCCAGTATTCTTCTTCTGTCCACATCATACCCCTGCCTCTGTCACATTTTTTGCATTTGGCTTCTGCTCTCCTCTAGTTTTGACACCATGGAGAGCCCATTCTTCTTTTGTGCCCTGATTTCTGTTCCTACTCCCTGTTCTTTTTTTCTCTCTTTTTCCTCCCTTCATTTGAGTCTATAGGGTTGTTTTTTTTTTAACTTTCAGGGTACTTCCTGGGTACCCTGTACCCAGGGCACTGCACAGTGGGAGATGGAACTGACTAAGAGGGACAGTTTTGATAGTGTCAAATTTCCTGATGGCATGGGGTTCTCCAGGCACTCAGAAGTAATCCTGAGGCTTGTTCAGCACCAGCATCTTTGAGATGGAAATTCAATGCAGATAGGGTCTTCAGAAATTCAGGAGCCACACTGCAACAGGAGCTCACCAACAGGAGTGACAACAGGCCTTTTAGAATCTTACAAACTGAAATAAATGTGGACACCATTTTACAGAAATTATAATTCCTGGGTGTTGGTAATTCTCCCCCTCCCCTTTCAATTCTGGAATTTTGCCTCCAACTTTCAGGAGCTGAAGCCAATCAGCAGCATAATGACGTGACATTCAAAACATGAACACGGCAGTCTGTTCTCACAAATATTTGTATTTGAAGGTTTTTAGCTGAAACTTTACAAACAATTTGTAGCAGGCAACCAGAGTAGGAAAGTTCAGTACAGTTCAACAGAATTCAAACTAAAACTGGAATCTTACTCTTGTGAATGATTCTCAACATGCATTTAACTAAAACGGTGAGAAAACCTGTGTAAACAGAGAGAGGGAAAGGAAAACAGAGCAGGAGTAAAGAAAAAGGTTCTTTTTATAGCATTTAACACATGAGAATGTAAATAAATGTGGTGTTAGTGAAAGTTAATTATTTTGAAAACAGTCAGCAAGGCAGATTAAGAGGTAAAACAGTGCAGCTGAAGACAAAGGAAACAATATTTAGTCTTTGATCAGACATTTTCACAGTGATTTTCTGTTCACCTTCAAGGGTGGCATAATTTTATGAATAACAGAATTTGTTTTGCTACTTGAGTAGCCTTGAAGAGAAATGGTGTTCATTCCATATGGCCACTTGAAAGAAAATCCCATGCCTGTTCGTCCTTTAAGAAATAACATTTTTATTTATTAAATATTTTCTCTCAAAGAGGGACCCTAAAGATATACAATGAAGTTTACATTTAGTCTCAGAGGACAAGCCAAATCTATACTCTATGCTTCTGCACATTTCTTCAGATAATGATCATAGATAAACTTCATCATCTATGTGCCAAGCAACAAACCTGAAATACTCTCACTTTTTAAGCATTTTGCTTTCATTGCAATATTCTTAAATAAGAAATAGTCTTTTTTTTTCTTCCCAAGTTTATTGCATCACACAGGAAGTGAGTATTTTTGATACAATTGCTCAGTGGCTTTTCTGCTATGACCTTTCAACTTTTATCAACATTTATCAGTTCAGGTTTTTTGGTGGTAATTTTTTGGTTCTTTTTTTTTTAATGTTTAATGTTAATTTATATGGATAAAGCATAATTTTTCAGATATTTAGATTGCTTTGTAATGTTGGTCAAAACAAAATGCAGTAGTCGTGTGAGCTATGGTAGGAAAACTCATCTGTGAGTATCCAATTACTGTATCATCCCTGCCCACGAAAACTAGGGGTCTTAATATATTCTTCATATTAAAAGTGCTCAGATTATGTTAATGTGTGATGGAACTATCTTTGGGCTTCTGTGGTAGTTGCCTACCACAAGACATGCTGTCACTTTGAAAAATCCAGGTGTTGGGATATCTGGGTGACAGACTCTCCAGCAGCTGATTAACGTCAGTGGTTGAACTTCGCAGACCTGGGGAGTGAGATCTGAGCCCCAGTGCATATGTGAGAGACAGTGCTACTGGTGGCAACCACAGAATAGAAAAGAAATTGGAAAGGAATGTATAAATGCCAGTAAATTTAAGAGCAAGGAGATAACAAAAATATGGTGGAAGTGAGAGTATGGTAAAGGGACATGGAAAAAGAAGATCTACTAGGGTTTATCTATATAGCTACTAGGCATATACTTACTTTTCTAATTAATTTTACTTATGTTATTGTATTTTATAGCTCTCAATACATTATGTTTTCAGTCATTTTAACTTATATTTTATATGCAAAATGAAAATATTACCTTTCTGGTCAAACCTCTATAACTCAGTTGAAACAAACTGCTCCTGAATTTAAACACGTCCTGTCAAGGAGAGACTGTTGTAATTTCAGTGTCTTTAAATGATTTTGAATATATTTTTTGAACAGTTCTCTCTGACACTGACACACTCAGGAGACAGTACAATAATCTGAATTACTATATCTCATGTTTGTATATAATGCACACTGAAGGCATTTTTCATGGCAGATGCTCATATGCTTATAAATCTGAAGTATTTTGCTGTATTTCAGATGTTATGCTACTTTAATGACAATGGTTTAGCACAAAACTATAGCAATGATGTTTGCACCTAAATGTTTATGAAATACTGCCTGTCAGGTTTGGGTTTGTGTGAACCCTGACTGTGTCTCATGCTCTGTGAGTGGCTCATCTCTATGAGTGATGTTCCGTGGTATTTAGCTGAGCGAACTTATATATCTATATAATATTTACCATTAGTCAAATCCTTTTTTCTGTTGGGCCTGGTGAGTGTTTTGCCATTTGTCAATAACTTCAATAGAAGTGAGTCAAAGTCACTTTTTTTTTCCCTCTGAAATACTTTTAAAGTAGCAAAAAAGAAGAGTTTCTTGATGCAAGGTATCCTGAAAGTTGTCATTGAACTTGCTGTTTGTAAAGGGAATGATTTTTTTAATTGTGTCTCTCACACCAAGCGAGCCTTAGTGAGTGATATTTCTAGGTGGGTTTAAAACCGGAACTTCGAAACCTCCCACAGAGCCCTGGATTTTGCATTAGCAAGCTAGCGAGCAAAATGTTTTTTCCTCTGCTGAAAATGCAAGTAATTTAGATTACCAGAAGGTACAATTAAACTTTTGCTGGAAATCATAAAGATCCCAAGGAGATACCTAGTCTGCAAGAGAACAGTTTTCTAATTTTTTTTTGACAGTGATGGATTTTATCACCTCCAATCAGCCTACAGCAGTGTATTGCAGAGATCAAGTTGGAAGCTAAAATTCCTTTTATGTACTTACGTCTTGCAATTATGAGTGAAAACAGTGCATGTATTCATTGGTGCAATAGGAAAATATAGTTAACATACAGTTAGCAGATTCACAAAATTAAAAATACCATATGAATTATTTAACTAATGGTGCGCTTTGCCCCAGAACCTGGTGTTTATTATTTTGAGCTTTAGCAGGAAACAGAAGCAGTATCAATTGGGGAAACATTTCTTGGCCAAGCTGAGAACAGTATGGCTTTCTCATTTCAAAGTGGGGAACCTGGTTCTTTGGTTTCTTTGTTCCTAGTTAAGACTACTCCCCAAGCTATTTTAGCTGAACATTTAACCCACTAATGGAGCCTGGGGAAGTGCAGTTGGCAGCTGTTCATGGGATAATAATGAAACACACTGTTTAGTACAGCAAAACGCTGCTGTAAAGTGCGGGAAATATTTTATAGAGATCCCGGTGAGCAGAGCAGGATCCGCTTTAAGTTCTGCTGTGATGGGGGGGAGCAAGAGGAAGTTGTGTTTCAAGTGAGAGTAACCAGCAGTGCTTTGCTCCTGCAGGTGAAGAAGCCGTGTCCGGAGTCCGATGGTTCAGAGCCGCAGAATCCCAGGTATGGTGCTGGAGGGCCGACGCCGACTGACTGCGGTGGCGGAGAGCAAGGCCGAGCTGTGCCGTGGATTTGTAACATCAGAGCCCCGGAGTTGCGTTTTGCAAAGAGCAAGTGGTTGGATCAGTTGTAGTGGTTTTCACTCTAGAAAAGGGATTTTTCCCTTTTCCCTGTAAAAGATGCAGCCTGGAGTCTGGGTTGTTGAGTGTAGATGATGGCATAACACTGAATGGTCACATTCAATTAAAAAAAATCCCAGCTATTAAATAGCGTAGGGAAATCTGTGTGATCAGCTCTCACTTTCTTCAGTTATCCCTTTTCTGCATATCTGAGTCTTGAAATTTATTGAAAATATAGTTTATTTCCAGTGTGGAAAACTAATTATTTATTTGGGAAAATTTGCCCTTACCAAAACTTCATTTTGTTTTCACATGTGAAAAACATGCTGTGTTCATAAGCTGGAAAGAAGCCATACATTCCTTTCCAGCACAGGCATTTCTAATATCATGTACATGGGAAAAAGGAAACAGATTTAACTTCCATGTTTTGCACATGCATGTATGTATATGGATAATTTTGAGCAAGTGAAGTAGTAACTGTTTTAGATGTGCATCTTCCTGATTGTTAGTAAACTGGTGAATAATTTTCTTCAATATTTAGTGAGTGCTCCTTGTCTTTGTCTCGCTTCTCTATAGAAGACTGTTCCAGTGTCATAAAAGCTCAGAAGCTTTCATTGTGAGGGGAGAGTCACAAAATAAACCTGACATTTCACTAACATTGTCACTAAAACTCAGAAAAGTTAAATAATTCAAGGTTTGCCCCCCAAACCTATCCTTACCTATATTTTAACTATGTTCCTTAATTATTGCAGCAGGATCCTCTGGGGGTCATCTGCAGCATCCAAAGCCATTGTAGTACCTGTGCCTTGAGCTGCACTGTGCACCATCTGATTTTTTTGATTAGATCATGTCTGTTATTAATATGTATTTTCATTTAGTTTGGTTAGAACGGAAAAGGGAAGAGATAGCTCAATGTCCAAGTATGCTTTCCGTGTAGTCAGTAGCAGTTTTGACCTGGACTTCAGTGGAAACTGCTTTGCCCTTCAGTACTCACAACTTCTAAATGAAAGACTTATTTGCTATGCTGCTGCTTTGGATTGAAATTTATTGTAAAGGTCAAGTTCTTTCTGAGTGTTTTGACACCATGGAGAATCTCAGTGTAGCATAACCCTCATATACAAGTGTGTAGTTTTAAGTGTCGTGGTTGCCCAAATGAGACTATTGTAATTCAAGCCTTTAAAATCCATTAATTCCAGTCTGATGTAATTTCATCAAAGGGTGATGAAAACAAACGGCAACAAACCTGAGGACCCAGAATGCAATGTACTGTTACTATCTCTGCACATCAGGAAATTTCTTACAGGCTATAGTTAAATTCTTTGTGCTGTGTCTGAGGACTAAGATAATTATTTTTTTTTCTCCTGAATGTGCAAGAGAATCCATGCTACAAATAGTTAATCAAGCAGTTTCATTTCTTGAAGTGCATTTTCAAACAGAAACACTTTTCATTTTGAGCTTTTCAGCCTCATTTGGAGGTTATATCAGATAGAACTAAAATTCATGTTCCAAGCCTGAGCATATGCCATGCTGTGTGTACAGCCTGAAGTGGGATTTTTTGGTTGCTGTGTGAGTTTTGGTCTTGGAGGGGAATCTCTGACAGACATTGGGCTGGAGCAGCACTAGAGGGCTCTGTGTGGCACATCACACTTCAGAGCCTGGAGCAAGGTAATTCTTCTCTAAACAAGGCTTAAGTGAAAACACTGCACATAAAATGAAACATCAGCATAAAAATGAATGCTGGAGACACACAGCCTTACAGAATAGCTCCTGGCTTGGGACCTAAGGCCAATATCATTCATTTATTTAGCTAGCTTTATAGTCTGTTAGTTTTGGATTTGAAACTATTACAATAAATGCAGATGGAAAGTGTTTTTACAGTAGGGAAGTAATTAAATTGGGTGTGGGAACCTTGTCAGGAGAATTCTTGGAGTGACATGTGTGTATCAGCAGATTCTTTGTCTTGCTTGGCCTGGGTTTGTCTTTCAGAAAGAAGCAGTCAAACTGCAGATGTGACTGCTAAATTTTTTAAGGGATATACTAACCTATGCAGCATATCAAAAAATTCTTTTCAGAAGAGACCAGCTGTACCTGCAATAAAAATCAATCTTGTCAGCACTTCTTTAGAGAAAGTGCCTGTTGTCTTAACAGACAGGTAAATTGCTACACACAGAGGGAGAGGGATCTGTAGTTGAAAACAAAGTTATGGTGAATAGGAGAGTTGTAAACCCAAAAGGAAGCATGCTTCTTCAATGTCACTGACAGACATTTTGATTCACAAACAACTTGGTCTTACAAGTTCTGTCAGTTTCTTGGGATTTTTTTTTGTCAAATACCTATCAAGGGGTTCTGAATACTTCCTTTTATACCTAGGTAGTGGCATTATACCTTAGAAGGTGGTGTTGTGGCTGTATCAATATTATGGCATTCTTTCTTCATAATTCTGTAGTAAAAGCCAAAGTCTGCAAGCCTGGATAGTTATCCAATCATGTAAAATGCTTTCTGGGGATGTTGGTGTGTGATAGAGAGGCAGCGAATACTTAGGACTTGCCAACTGTTTCACCACAAGTCTGGAACAGGCAAGAGCAGCATGATGGACAATCCTGACATGCTGGCCCTGTGTCAAATTCACTAGCAAGGTTAGGGAGAGAAGTTCTTGTCTTCAGAGTCTACAGACATACATTGCTCTTAATTTTCTTATATGACAGGTAACTTTAAAATGGTATCAATCCCAAGTGTGCTGAACAGCTCCTTCGTGAAATTTAATGTCTTACAAGAATTGCTGAAGTCTAATGCAGTGCTTGAGAATTAGCTTGTTTGCAGTTATCAACAAAATAGGTTAATAATAAAAAAATCCATTTTAATTCTAATAAGGAATAATTCTGTTACCCTAAAATCTGTAAGCTATGCTTAAAACCTCATACTATGTGAAATGCTACAATATGTGTTATTCTGAAGTCTGGTTAAATGCTAAATATGAAGTCCAAGACTTCTGCTCACACTCAGCAACAGCATATTCTATTTGGCGACACATCCCAGGGTAGCATCTTTCTGTGACATAGCAGTCTGCTTGATGAATGCATCTCTCCTGCCCCCAAATCCTCCTTCTCATACCACCAGGCCTGCCAGAGATTCCACTGTAACACCAAAGTCATGTCTGCAATTGAGACATGAGAGTAACTATTGGTTTTTCTGGGCTATAAAATGAAATAGGGAGGAGAGAAATTAAATGAGGGCGTGGAAGTCTGCAAATGGAAATTCGGCAGGGTCTTCTACTGCTTCCTCAAAGTTCAGTGATTATAGGAAAAATAATAATGTTTTTTTTACCATCTGGAGAGGATGGAAGACTGCAGCAGAATTAAGAGATTTTTCTAACAGTTTAAACACAGTTTCTTTTTTTCCTGGAAAGGCAAAGGAAAGTGGCTGGATATTTCACATACTTTCCTTCTTTAAGCTATGATATTTATGTTGTGATGAAGCTATCTATGGGAAGAAAGGGAAAACTTAAGGTTTTGATGAGTAGTTTTGTAAGTTTGGGATAAAAGTTAGCTGGCAAATCAACTTAGGAATACTTAGGATACACAATGTCAAAAAATACATTACTCATGTGTTTGCAGAAGGGCGATAGATTTTTGTATTAGTAAGTTAAAATTAAGCCCCATAGAGCAAGAAGCCCTCCACTTTATTGCATGACTTTTACTACAAACCTGTGGATCCAGTATTTCCAATAATATCCATACTTCCTGACTTTTCCTTTACATACTTTAAAAAAAAAAAATCTAAAAGCAAAGGAAAAAGAAATTAAGCCAGTCTTAAGTAAATCCTCCCATTTAAAACTTCATCAGATGCTGTAAGAAGAGTGTAAATCAGGGGCACTACAGTTACTGCATTGGTACCAGTTAGATAGGGTTCATCCCTATGTGTTACCAAACTACAAATTCTCCAGTGATGATCACTGGCAAATATTGAATCATATGCACAGATCAAGTTGCCAGATAAAGCAGTTATCCAAAAAAGCTCACGGGGATTTTTTATGTGTTTAAAAAGGCCTCCAATATTTCAATTCAATATGGGTTTCAGTGAGGTTGCTAGCATAGATTGCAGCTGTTCATCAGATTATTGCTTTTCTGTTCTTCAACACCCGCGCTTCTATGTGCACCACAAAGTAAGATTTAAAAGATATTAATTCCTGTTTCTGTTTCATCTTAAAAGTCTTTCTTAAAACTTTTGAATGAGAAGTAGGCTTTCACATTTTCTCACAGGTCTCATTTAGATACCTACTCGTGGTTTTTAATTGGTCAGGATACGGAGTGCACATACACATCCAGAAGCAATTATTGTCATTAATGTGTTCCCCAGTAAATAGATGGTATTGAGTGTCAGTGAGAGCTACTGCAGTTTTCCTATTCACTTCTCTGGACCAAAGTTTGTTTCCTCTGCAGTTTGGGCTCACTGTTGTGGATGCAATGTTCACTATGTTCATTGGATCTGAGCTATGCTAATGCTTCATGTATGCATTGCCAGACAGTGTTTCCACAACCATTCATATACTTTAAAAAAATTAAAAGCAACATGTATCTTCTGCATCTTATTCCAGACAATCAGATAATCACATTTCATGCTCATCGATTTCAACTAAAATACACCTGAGATTTCTTCCACCAACTAATTCCCTCAACAAGACCTTAACAGTCTTATCTCAGAATGATCAGGGTGATGGTTCATTATTTCAGTCAGGCATTGGCTGGCCCATATTTACCAGATCTAACACTCCAACCCCTGAGCCCAAATCCAAGCTTTACAGGCACCTGACGGATTCTGTGATGAGGCTTTCATGCCTTTTCCATGACTTTGAAAACAGATGACTGTCTGCGTACACATTCCTAA